GACTCAACATTCGCGACCAGCGCCGAGTCTCCATGGACAACTGTGCATGCAAGTTCGTCTTGGATGAGCAGCTGCGTATCTTGGAGCGTGGGGGCGGGGCGATTCGCGAGAATCCCAATAACAGCCTCCATTGGTGTATTCCACAGGAGGCGGAGATGTGGGTGTCCGACCAGTGGTGGGATACCAGGTACGACGCATGTTGCTTCATGGGTGCTCGCCGCAAGCGGCAGCGTCTCCGGCACAATATCTGGGAGCTGACCCAGGGCCCTGCCTTGTTGTGCCATCATACACATCACCCGGCAGACTGGCAGCCTTGGGAGCACGAGGGCAAGGTTGTATACCCGTCTGCAGTGGAGGCCGAGTACACTGCCCCGTTCGCCTTCCATGTGGCTGTGGCATCTAGCTGGTGGGCTTGCCGGTTGGGGTTCGCCAAGCTGCATGTCCCGCGCGGGCCCTTCGTCCAGTGTGTGGGCCGACGTGAACATTGGCTCGAGATCGACTCCCGGGGCCTATTGATCCTGGCGAAGCGGCCCGCGTGCCCCGGCGCGTCGAGGTCTCTGCTGTTTTGCGGGAGGATAAGACTTTGCCAGAAGATGTGGTCTACGTTGGTCGAGGCCACCACTCTCACCGGCTTCCGGTGACGCAGTGGGCCTCGCCTTTCATCCCTGGCCACAATTGCGGTGCTGATGAATGGTTGGCTCTGTATGTCGAGCACGTCGTGGCCAACCTCCAGACCGATTTGCCTTGCTTGGAGGGCAAGGTGCTGGCCTGTGATTGCCCGCTCTCGCAAGTTTGCGAAGGCGACCTTCTGGCCGGGCTCGTGTTCGACGCGGGCAAGCCAGCAGGCGCCCCACACCCGCAGGCAGCGGGTCGCCCGCGCCGCTCGGTGGGCCGGCAGAGTCGTCGGGTCCTTCTGGCAGCGTCGGCGGCGGTCGCCCTCCCGACTCCGGTGGGTGCCGTATAATCCCTTATCTGCACCAGGATTCAGTTACGGCGGCCTTTGCCTCTCTTTTCCCTGAGGCGCTCCTGTCAGGTTTCCGCTTTCCGATGATCGAGGATTTGGTGAACGCCCCTCCTTTCAGCGAGTACTTGCAACGGTGTCGAGCTCGTGGCGAGGATTGGGATGGGGCCTTGGTGCCTCAGCTGGTCAGTGGCCAGCAGCGCCAGTGGCAGCGCATGTCTGAGGGTCAGCAAGCAGGTGCCATGGCCCACAGGGCTGCTCTCCCGCCAGTGCTCCCGTTCGGTCTCAGCCCTACGGAGCACTTCGAGCTCGCCCACCAGGTGGCACAGTATCCTACCCCTTTCGAACAGCCCCCGGCACTTGATCTTGATCTTTGCTTTGCAGCTGAGGTCTGTGCCAAGGAGCGAGGGACGCTCAAGCAAAGGCGGCGAGAGTCGCTGGGTGCTATTCGAGAGTTGCACCGCCGATGGCGGGGTGTTGACGCGTGCCTTCTGCTCTCCGCAAGGTCACGCGGCAAAGGGATATCGGCCTTCTAGCCCTGCTCTGCTTGCTCGTGTCGTGGGGTGACCCGACATTGCCTTCTGATTTCCTTTTCGGCATGGCTGCGGTTGGGACGGCACCTTGGTACGGTGTTTTCCCTGCCCAGGGGTTCCGAGAGATTACTCGGGCGGAGGTGCTTTCGGAGGCGGCTTCCTCCAACGCCCGTGTGCGGGCGGGCCTGCGTCCGGGCCGTGATGATGCTTTCTTGTTGGAGCAGAGTCTGAAGGATGCTGAGAGCGGCTTCTGCACTGCCCCTATGCGCCACTCAGAGCTGTTGCGAGTCGTTCAAGGGCAGCCCTTTCGACTCATCCCCCGTTGTGTCAGAACACAGAGCAGCGGTAAGCAGAGGATCATCGATAATGCCGATGCCGGCGGCCAGTCTCTCCTCAGTTCTGATCCTAACAAGCTGGTCCTGTCTTTGCGTCCAGCCCAGCATGCTGCCTGTCTGCTTTCCTGTCTGGATCCGGGCTCCCTCGCTCGGGCGGTTGCCGAGGATGCCCTGGAGGGCGGAGGGGAGGATTGGCCGGAGGCTTATCGCCATTGTCCG